AATGGCTGGTCCATGTCCCTGATGCTTTCAGTCAAATATGTCAAACTCACGACGTCACATGACGTCGCATGACATATCAGAGCTTTTTTGCCATTGCCGGCAATGGGGTGGGCGCGGCTCCAATATGATGAAACCGGCCCGTGGGCTGGCAGTTTGACATCCTTGCTTTAAGTCTTGCTCACAACAAACCATGTTTAAAGAAACAATGGTCTTACATATATAAAATCTATTACAGCCATAAGCAGCAAATCATCAGCAAACCTTGATTAAAGAGATAATGGTCCAATATGTTTGAAACCTATTAAATCAGCAAATCTGAAGCTCTTCAAATTCCAGTTGTCTTGATCACCATCTGGATCATCTTTCACCATCTGGACTAAGAATTAATGAAGCTGTATTCCAAGATTTATGATCCCAAGAGACCAGCCATCAGGTGGCTAAGTCTTAGTATAACCTGAAATGTCTGGAGTCTACCTTCTCAAAATAAGCAGAAGAAGCATTGAAAAAAAAATCAGAATTGAGAAGACAATCTACTTTCCATTTGAGAGGTTTTAGGAATAATGGGCATTATCTTGTGCAACATTTAGACTCCAAAAGGAAAACAGAGCAGTCATAGGTCCTATAACAGGAGGAATTTTTATGGAATGGACACTTCTCCATTTGAAGGCATCCTCTTTGAAGATCTTTACAAATTTCAGCTAAACCTCTAACAAGGGGAGGAGGAGCTTGGAAATTACAGAATGAACAATCATGTAGCTTTTGTAACCACAGCTTTCAGCCAAATGAGAATTGTTGTTCTAGATTCTTAATATGCCGCTATTCACAAATATCAGCACATATTATATATACATATATAATAAAAATTTTAAAATGCTGCTGTTACTGTCAGTAGCAACACTGGTTGCATTGCAATTTATTTTCTAAAAAATTGAATACCCATTTTGCTGTCTTACCTTGGTGTGAAACCTGATTTAATTTGATTTCAACCATCCACTTACAAGCTAGTTCAGAAGCACAAAGAGCTGTTTGTTTTATCTAAACAGCTGTATCCTTCGACTTTTTATTCCATTCATCTACTTGGTTCTATAATATATTACACAGTACTGCACCCCGCTGCCATGCAACCACTTCAAAAATAGAAAATGGTACAAAAAGACAGAGAAAAATGTGAACTGAAAAGCATTTTGTCCTGTGAATGCCTGGAGTGTTTGCACATAGCTAAAATAAAGCTACTTCATTGGCAGAATCAGAAAAACCGTGAATGAGTAATGAAAAGTATGTGTAGGATCAGAAAGGTTTGTACTTGTACACAATGAAAACAAACTATTAAACCAAACTGACACTGTTAGGAAGTGTAAAACTGTTCCTGAAACTGTGTGTCAACAGTGTGCAAAGTTTTCATAATGGGCATTTGGAGGCAAAGTTTAACATCAGTCCAAAATAAAGGGACTGAAGGATGAAAGCCAAATGTTGCAAATAATGACTAGCAGTTTGTTAGCAATTAACACTTTAAAATAAACATCAGATCAGCAATTGATCTCTTCTGATTCATGTTGAGAACATGTAACCCAGATTAGCTACCTTTTCAGCGAGGGTTATAAAGGAGCAACTTTTGTATTTGGAACTTAAAATAACTTCCCAAGAGCAAATGCATATAAAGAAATTTATTAGCAGAACTGAATGACAAAAGGAATGCTATAAACTTGTTTCACAAATGCAAGTGGGAAATACATAGTTTGTAAGTGGTTACCAGCTCACTGCTGTATTAAAAGTGGTGACTGAGCCTGCTGTATCTCCATCACGTAACTTGATACTTACACCAACTGCTTTTTACTCGGTTTGAAGTTGCCAGGGACTTGTGCAACTGAAAACATGATTGCCATTTCCACTCTTGATAACATGGGAGCAAATTAGACTGAGTCTATAAGGCTACTTATTGCAGATCAAGGAACATGAGAAGAAGACACAGTGGACGCCTATTGTTTAGATGAAATAACATCACTTATCAGAGATCTCAAAAACGGATAAGCAGTGAAAGGGATTGTTCTCTGATATTGTTCTACATTTTAAAATAAAGCCTGATTTATGCTTGCATAGCAGTAGCTGCAAATAAAGAGACTGATTTTGTGTGGGTGGGTTTGTATTTTAAACCTTTCAATGGCCTTTTACTTAAATAAAGGGGCATGATTGATAAGAACAGGCTCACGATAGGCAAAAATATGGTAAATCCAAAGCAAAGCTATTAATTTAATATTGCCAATATTGCACTCAAGAGCACGGCCAACTGGATTTTTGTAAGAAAACTATGGACATTGCATATACTATAATGCTATCTGCAAAACAGAAATGCACAGTATAAATCTTATCTCTGTCTTACAGCTATATGAATGTTTTGCAAGCTGGATTTGTCAGAATATTTTATACAGTATTAGTCAACCTAGGTTTTAGCAAAAAAAAAAAAAAAAAAAAGCTAGGCTGAAATTCCTACTCAGTCAGGAAGCTTGAATAGGCGTATCTTGCCTTACCTACCTCGCAGGGCTGTGAGAATAAAAGAATAATCATGGGTACTGTCAACCTCTGTACAAGGAAGGAAGGATATTAATGAAGGAGATATGTAAATAAATTAAAAATGTCTGTTTCTTTCTGCAGAGGCAATATGATCCAAATAGAACTAAAATTGAGTTTGGAGAAGGCCAAACTGAAATACCATCAAGAATATGTTTATGAGCAAATATCCAAACATCTGTTTTCAAATATTTGGTCCTGAGCTGTGGTGATAAAGGAGGCAAAGCCATTTTATCTCTCCTCTTCTATTATATTTGCAGGTTGCCATCCAGGAGCCTTGTTTTGGATGGTATATTGGCTTTTAGGAAGTATCAAGAGCACTTGCCTAGTTGTTGTGACTGATAGCCCAGAATTTTGCTAACCAAATCACTTTGTCCAAGGAGGAGACCGGGATGGTGTGGTGTCAGGTTACTTGGAGCTCCTTTGGCCTGTCCCTTCTGATGAAATGGATGTTGTCAAGCCCCACGGAGCTTGCCAATCACAGTTGGGGGGGGGGGTGATACGCAGCTGCCAACCACCGCTCTAATGCCGGACGCCGCCACAGAGCTGGGAAGACGCCAGCGCCGCCCCAGCCGCAAAAACGGACCAGCCGGCTGCCGAGTACGGCCTTCTGTTCCCCCTCCTCTTTGCGGCCCGGCGGCTTGCCGTTCCCGGGGCAGGGAGCTCAGAGCCGCCGATGGAACCACCGGACTGTGGACGGGGCGGCCGGCCCACAACGTACCTCCAGGGAAGCCGCCGTCGACAGGCCAAAGCAGCAGGCAGCCAGCGAGGGCTGCAGCCAGCCGTGAAACAGCTGAGCGGCATGGAAGGAAGCAGGCAAGGCCCGCGGCCGCCGGCAAAGCAGCTGACCGGCGCGGCCGTTTGCTATCTGTGCCAGAGAGACGCGGGAGGCCTCCGGAGGCCAAGGAGAGGGCTTTGCCGGCTAGTCGGAGCAGCAGAGGCTCGGAAGATGCTGGAAGCGTGGAACCGAGCCTGGGCAGCCGGATTGGAACACAGCAGGGCCGGGCCAATCCAGAGGAAGGGTTTTCAGCACATTCTCTGCCTCCCATAGGCTGGATCCTGCTCTTTTGAGTTCCTGTGGATAGCCAGGCAGGAGTTATCTATATATCTGCAAAACAATCAATGTCTCATTGAAAAAGTGTGTGTAGGGGGTGTGTATGGATGTGTGGGTGCTTGCTATCTGGCAAACTTGAAAGAGGCTGAGATGTTCTTGTCCTCAGTCCTCAAGGGCCCCACAAGGATCCAATGGGGTTAGTTACTGGTAACTACCACCCAGTTTCCAAATCAGCCTTTTTAGAAAAGTTTGTTAAAACAAGGGTGGGGAATCACGAAGCACTCACAAGAAAGCAGTTATCTGGACTGTTTCCCATCAGGGTTCAGACCAAAACAAGGAACAGAGATGACAACAGCTGAGCTAATGGATGACCATTCTAGTGACCTGGACAAGAGTACATCCATCCCGCTCTTTTCAATGGCCTTTGATACCATCAACTACGGACTGCCCTTTGGCAGTTGGAGGCCCTAGAGAGCCCTGGGCCTGCACCTTCCTCAGAAGCCAGTTCCGGTTGGTGGTAGTAGCAGCCATCCACTCTGTAACAGCTTCTTTGTGAGTTTCCAGAAGGTGGATTCTCCCCCCCCCCATTTAATTGCTAAACGAAACTGCCGAGATCGATCACAAATTGACTTGGGCTACATTTTAATGTTTTCATCGTGGACATTTTAAATGTACAGTGAGTGGCATGATAGCAGTGCTCCAATATTTCAGGGGCTGCCACAAAGAAGAGGGAGTCAAGCTATTCTCCAAAGTGCCTGAAGGCAGGACAAGAAGTAACGGATGGAAACTAATCAAAGAGAGAAGCAACTTGGAACTAAGGAGAAATTTTCTGACAGAACAATTAATCAGTGGAACAACCTGCCTCCAGAAGCTGTGAATGCTCCAACATCGGAAGTTTTAAAGAAGAGATCGGACAACCATTTGTCTGAAATGATATAGTTTCATGCCTGAGCAGGGGGTTGGATTAGAAGACCTCCAAGGTCCCTTCCAACTCTATTATTGTTATATATTTACAGACCATTAGAAGTCCTTAACTGGACTGCAGTGGGATATAAATGTAATATGCAAACCAATGTATATTACTGTGTCTTACAGGAATATGGCATTCAGATATGAAAAGGGGAAAGGATCTGAGATTACTGACTGAAACCTGACCTCTCTTTCCAGAGAAAGAAGTTTATGAACAGTGTGTCTTAGTGCTAGAGTGTCACCCTCATAGTTTTGGCTTCTCCCCACTGCAATGCAGTACTGCATTACATACCTTTTGCCTCCCAAGTAGGAACGATACGCTTGGTTCTCCCCCTTAGCACTCTGAGGCTCTGTAACAAAACGCGCCATTTTCACAACTGTTAGGAAAGGCGAATAGGAAGAAGCTTTAGAAAACGGAGGAAATCTGGTCTTTTATTAAGTATTTGGCCAGGACAATGGATTCCAAAGGACAGATGCCTTCAAAGGGAAGGAACAGCGTCAACATTTTGCTTTTCGGTAGATGCTGAGAAGAAGCAAAGGGACAGAGACGTTTCCTAGCAGCCCCATTGGGGCCTTCATGTGGGGACAGTCGTCCTTTTCCATTTGCTGGGCAAAGCCTGGTTCTACGAGAGCGTGGAGTTTCTCACGGCGTGGACAGCCCACCCTGCAGCATTCCTGAGAATTGTACAATATAATCTTGAGTCAGCAGGGTGGATTAGCCCTTTTTCATTGGGTTTACACTTGTGACCTTAACAGTAGAACTGCAAAAAGCAAAATGGGATATATGCATCTTTGCCATAACAGCCCTTCTGCATTTCATCTTAAATACATACAACTGAAAACAACTACCATTCACTTTAAATTATGTACAAAACCCTATATATTGTTTTTTTCTTCTGCTGGTTTTGGATTACACATATAAATACAAATTAGCTATTCTTCTAAAAAGTGGTTATAATAGTAAATAAATACAAAATAAGAATCTGACCTTTATACTTCATGTGCTGTGGGGAGGGGGGGTAGGGTTAAACCCATATAAAATGTACAACTAAAATATGTTTTAAAAATCTTTAAAAGGAATAATTCTCTGATTAAAATATCTTTCCTCACTTTTTTTTCTGTAGACATAAATAGATTTTCAAAATAGATGTGTTTAATTCTCCATATCATAACATAAATAAGGTCTTCATTGGGAAATATTAAAGTGTCAAGTTGTGTCTGTGTGTGTGTGTTTTGTGTATGTGTGTTACTTTTTCTGTTCCATTTGTCCCTTTAATTTTGCTGTTGCCTCAGCGGCACCCACATCCTTCCACAACCATGTCCTGATAGTTCTTTAGTACCACCTTTTCATTCTCGTCAAGATACAGCATTGAAATGGGACTCAGTTCTGTCGGCACACAGCAAGCTTTGGGAATTTTGGAGTTCACAGAATTGACCAGTGTCTGAACAATGGCATGGTTGGTGGAATTCAGATGATCTGCCAATGGGAAGGGACAGTCTCCATGGCAATAGAAGGCACTGTAACCTGGAGGGGCCACGATCCAGTCATTCCACCCTACATCATTGAAATCCACATACAAAGGATGCCTTCTACAATTGGATTTATGGCGCTTGCGTGGTTTATGTTTGGCCTGACGTTTCTCTCTCTTATGGAGTGGGTGGCCCATGCCGTCATGCCCAAAAGTGACCAGTAAGGGTCTAATCCGAGACCAGCTAGCATCATCTTGATGCAATGACCTGCTGATCCTGACATGCCTCTTGGACACATTGCTGGCATTGTTCAAATGTACCACTTCTGCCACAAAACCAAGGTTAGGTTGTCCACGTGCAATCCATCTCATTACAGCTGGCGTCACATCAAATGTTTCCCATTTGCTGGTGTTGTGATGCACCAAGCGGGTGTCCAGGAGGCTTATGACAGGATCCTTGGTTGCCTCTTGTTCCGGTTTGAGAATTTCATAAATATTAATACGGTGATGAGAGCTGCCGTTGTGTTCAGCGGCATCTGGGATGTGCCCCCGAAAAACCTGCAATTCAGCTGAAGTGATAATCTCCCCACCGGGGATAGATGTTAAGTTAAAGAAGAAACGCCGAGATGTCTTCCCACTTCTTTCTGGAAGCTCTTCCAGGGTTTCTGATCGAAGGGGGAGAAAAGCAAAAGGGGCAATCAGTAATTTAGACCTTGCAGCAGAACGCCTGAGTTGCTGAACCGACACTTTCAAACCACCTTTGCATAAAAACCAGCGCACATTTACACCCAGAATCTGCCCCTTTGTCTTTCTACTTATCGGTTTCGTGAAGCTTTAATATTGCTCTGGCTGCTGTCCTGCCTTTGAGTCCCAACGGATTGCGTTCTGAATTCCAGGTGGTCGTAATAAGGGGGAAGAAATGTGAGGCATTGCTCTGGAATTCATGGGCATTAAAGATTATTATTTTTTAACACAGTGGTTAGCAGGGGCCCTGTGAGAGTAATTAAAAAGTGACTAAGGATCAAGGAAAGGGATTGCATTTCTGAGATTTCTTTAAAAAAAAACAAAAAACCACCCAGCTGCAGCTTTCATGTCAGTCTTCCCCAATCGGTTCCAAAAGCATTATGCCACAAGTTTCATAACTTACAAACCTTACCATCCAAAAGATTTTTATCTTAATTACAGACAACTTTGCAAAAAGCACACAGAGTGATTTTACTCAAGAGGGTCCTGAATGAAAAGTATTTGGATGAATTTAGGCATTCACTTGGGGGGAACCTAATGACCTAACCCTTCCGTCCAATAAACACATGCAAAGGTCCAAGGAAAGTATTGTGAACATTCTGTCAAAGCAAGAATATACAATACCACTACAACAGATGCATCCGGTGTTTATCAAGTCAGGCAAGTCTATCAGCCACGTGGTTGTCTGTCTACTATTTTCTTACTATAAACTGTGAACTGAGGGGCACATAAAAGTTCATGCTTCAGTGGCTAAAAAAGCCTTCAGGAGTGCTGTGCAATTGTTTTGAGAATGTGTACTATGTGTCATCTCCTGTGTTCTCCAACCCAGCTTTTTCCAAATGACTTGGGAGAGCAGCTCTCATTATTTCAAGCAAGTGGAACAGAAGTCTTATCTACTTTCTCAATATAACCCTGGTTTCTCATTCATATATTCATGGTTTAAAAAAAATCTGAATTAAGGTCATCTGATTTGTTAGCTTTGCTATGCAGACTGGGATCTAAATCTCAAATACAAGTGAAACAAAGCAAGCCTAAAACCTAAACCATATTTTCTGGTGGTACTTTTTAAGGGGGAGTAAACTAAAAAGACGGAGTACCAAGAAAAAGAGGACATGAAGAAGAAAAACAGACATAGGTTATGTAGTCATATACAGATAGAAAGGAAAACAGAACTCATGCAGAAGATGAAATCAAAGATTAGGTCTGAAACTGAATAGAGCATTTTTAAATATTTTATAGAGTAGGTTTTACTTACTTTAAAATTTCAACTTGAAAAAATGAATTGCTGTACAATAATTAAACCTGTACCTGATCTTTAACCTAACCGCATTAAATCATAAACTTCCAATGGATTTCTTTCATTGAAATTCTGAACATGAGATTTTTTTTAAAAAAAGCAAAGAGATAATTAGCGTTTCCATAATCACTAATTCCATAATTAGTATTCCTTAATCATTATTACCCTCAACATCTCCAGTTTAGGCTGGAAACAAATATGCCAAGGCCAATCAAGGAATTACACAACAGCAAAACCAGCACACACTGGGCTGGGTGAACACTTAGTTTTGCTTCAAACAGACCTACTGTACTGAACTTAATGGGATTTAAGTGATTTAAGATTAGCCAAAGTATCATGGACTTCAGCAGGTTGACTCTAAGGACAATTAAGACTGGGTCTGACACTTTTTTAGTAACAGGGGCATAAATGTTATAGCTATGACTCAGCTAGGCATAGCGCCAATTTTTTATCACAGTGATTTCATTTGGAATCCTCAGCAACAGTAGAATGCCACAATTTGGGCACATTGTGATATGCTCAGGTAACACCTCTACTCTATAAAATGCAGTGTTTCTCAGTAGGCTTTGGGTACAAGTCAAGATGCTAGTCGTCACCTTTGAAATCCTATAGGCAGAGGCACAAGGTATTGCAAGGAGTGCTTATCTCAATTGCTTCTGTTTGTCTCATCAGATCCAGCAGAATGCACCTGGAATGCATCAGGTCCCTTCTATAAAGTTGTGTCATATAATGGGGCTCAGGAGATATGCCTTCTCAAGAGCAATGTATCTCCAGAGATATGGATGGCCCTGATCTTGTTAGCCTTTAGGAATGCCTTAAAAACTTGGCTCTTCCTCCACTCACTTGGGACAAGATATTAAGTGAAGTCAACTTGTGTGGTTAAATGCTGGGGGCTTTTTTGGGGAGCTTCAGCATAATATATATTATTCAGATCAGGCATGTCCAACCTGCAGCCCATGGGCTACATGCTGCCCTGGACAGCTAGTAATGTGGCCCCATAAGATCATAAACTTTTAGCATTATGTATTTTATATACATTAGCTATATTATATATTTTATATGTGGCCCAAGACAATTCCACTCAATGCGGCCCAAACGAGCCAAAAGTTTGGACGCTTGTGATTTAGATAGTTCTATTGTTATTACAATCCTTTAAATTTTTGTTTTTAGATTTCAGACTAAATAAACATTAGTGTTACTGTGGCTATGGCAAGGTGGCCATCATTCAAAAATTTCTTCTCCTCCAATGCCTGAAAAAAAAAAATCACAGCTTAGGGCCATCTAATGCAATTTCAAAAGAAACATGCATTTGCATGGCAGAACAGATAAGCAGGAACAAGAGGCAAATGTTTTCCAGCTTACTTTAGTTGGTTTAGTTTGAACTCAACTGTTGATCTTAGTGTCTTGATTACTATACCCCTTTGTATCAATGCCCCATGCATGCTGGTGTGTGTGGCAATACTATCCTGTGCTCTTGGCTTTCCACATCACAGGATGAAACACCTGTTTCAGGAGGTTATCATGAGAGGTAGAAGGTGCAGGTAGAGTAAAGGCAGAGTTGCTGATGTCTGAATGGTAATATGAAGATGTATTTCCAAAACAGAATCTACTATAGGACTTTGGAGACCTGCCTCAAGAAATTAAGTCTTTCCAGAGATGGGCTAGATCTATTTTCTTGTAAGCCCTTTTAAAGTTGTCAGCCATCTGAAAGGAAACTAAAAAGCATTCCAAAATGTTCCCAGCCCTTGAGTTTTGGTCTGTGAATTTCACCCGCCTCAAATCTTCATGCTTTACTTCTTAAAACCCTACTGCCCAAAAATCCTCAACCTACCTTTTAACAAACATCCCTGAGCTCCCCATTCTTACAGAAGCACACCTTCCACACTCCCCATTAGACCTGTCTCAAAGTCTGGCCACCCAAGATTGGGGATTATTTTCCCTTGCGTTCACTTTTATCTTCACTCCTTTCTCTTCCTTCCATTTTCCCTGCCCACGTCAGAGCAACAGCTTACCCAGTGGCTAGGGAGGATTCATCCGAACAACAAGCCACAGACAGCTGCTGTTTACCTCTCCTTCTATGTGCTCATGGATATCTAAGTCCAGTCTAAATGTCCTACAAATGACCATGAAAATGTTTTATAAAAAAAAACTTACACACGGGGAAAAAACCCCTAATCTAACTTTAGTACTGTGTAATTACTATTCCCTTTCCATCTACAATTCAAGAATTTAGAGGATTGCAGGCTATGCAAAATCCTCCAAGCTCTATGGTACTTACTTTTAACTCAATCTGTATAGGATGGTGCTGTCTTATGCTCCATTTTTCCACCCCACTGAAGTTTTATCTCACACCCTGAGTCTTCCCCAACTGATGAAACAATGCGGAGAGGTTTGCCACTGCTCAGTGCAACAAGGATGGTTTTCATTAAAGTAAAATGCCAATCATGCAGAATTGACTCTCCAAGATCTTCCGTGGCGGCTATAGCACAGCAGTTTTTCGGAAAGTTGATGACGCTTGGCAATCCAAATTGCAAATATGTATGACTGGGTGGAAGGAGATCCCCTATTGCCACACGGAATGGTAACATACCATAATTAAGTCAAGTTTGTTCATAAGGGCAGATCATTGGGGCTATTCAAATCAAGGGAATAATAAACAGCACCACTGCTTTTGCCACCCACAATCATTGGGTGAGCAGGAACCCCCGTTTAGATTTTCTCTAAGGGGCGGACAGTGTCATATACATGCTTATCTTCATACGTGCATGCGTAAGATCGTTCATAGAGCCCCTTCTCTGGCTACTGCTCCTAATCTGAACTAGAAACAGAAACAGGAAGGTATGCCAGAAAATAGTCTGCCAATAATACTACAGGTAGTCCTTGACTTACAACAGTTATTTAATGACTGTTTGAAGTTACAACGTTGCTGAAAAAAGCGACTTACGACCGTTGTAGCATCCCATTGGTGATGTGATCAAAATTCAGCTGCTTGGCAACTGACTCATTTTTATGGCGGTTGCAGTGCCCCGGGATCACGTGATCCTCTTTTGTGAGCTTCTGACAAGCAGAGTCAATGGAGGGGAGCTGGATTCACTTAACAGCTATGTCACTAATTTAACAACTGCAGCGATTCACTAACAACTGGGGCGAAAAAGGCTGCAAAATGGGGCAAAATTCACTTAGCAAATGTCCCACTTAACAACAGAAATTATGGGGTCAATTGTGGTCATAGGTCAAGGACTACCTGTATGTATTCCAATAACTGACTCTCCACAGAAGCTGTTATGTCACATCCTTTTTCTTTCCTTTTCTTAGGTTTTCCTGTCTAATCAGATCTTTACTATTTAATTCTGCCTTCCCTCTTTAGAAATACGGTACTGCTTTCTACATTGCTGTTAAAACACTTTTATTGCATTTCTCTTTTGTTTTCCCACCTTCCTATCAGCCATTCTGAGAAGTGGTTTGAATGATAGGGTAAGCTTGTCACCAGTGGACTCCCCCCCCCCACTGCATGGTGACTGAATTTCTAAATCAGGGTTCTCCAAAGACAATTGCTATCTTACAAAGGCAGCATACACAATTAGCTCACTAGAAGATTCAAAACCACTTTTCAAAGGCAAAGCCCCCCCCCCCCTTCATCTTAGTCTCAGAGTAAGGCTGAGGTACAAAGTCCTTAAGAATTAGGCCAATATTAGACGTTAAAAGCCAATCCAAGACATTTTTTAATTGAGATCTTCAGCAGGAACATCAATGAACTGCTTAGCAATTTAGTTAGACATCTATACACATAACTAAGAGAAAAGGGGGAAAAAGAGGGGGAAAGCCATGTCTTCAGAAAGGTTGGAAATGTCCTCTTGAACTAGAGAATTTTAAAACCGAGTCAGCAGATTTTGCAAGTTACATGTGCCATGATTATTCAGGATAAATAATGAAAATCACAGGAATAAGGCTTAGTTGAGTGGTAGTAATTAAATTAGGTATATGCACTCAGTCAGAAGCAAATACTGTGGAATTTAGATGGATTTATTCCCAGGTAAAGGTAGATACATTTGTAGTCTGAAATATGTATCAGTTTCTCTCTGAACCATGTGGATATGTAACTGTGCATTAAAATGCAATTTGGCACAAGTGGATGGTGCAATATACATTCTCCCATTAATTAGTTTTATATTTATACGCAAAGCAGTATAAACACAGCATAAGGTTAAATTACAACATTAACCTCTTACCGCATTAAGACTTGCTATTAGTTAGCATAATCAGTATAGCCACACCCCTTGTTCCCAAATTTAATTAAATCTAAAATACATATGTATGTGTGAGTGGTTTTTTTTTTTTTTGTAGTTGTTGGCCATACTAGCTTTATAACCTGTTCAGTCTGCTTTTTCCTTTACTTTTACAGTAAATCCAGGGCACTAATGTAAAAATGAACAGCTGTGCATTTATAGTCTTTGATTTGGCAATGGCTGCCGAAAACAGTGAATAAGTAGCTTCTGCAGGTGTATCTGTATTGCATTAGGAGAGGTGTGGGTGGGATGAATGAAATAAAGTGAATAAGGAACCTGCAGATTAGGGTTGGGCAAACTTCAGAATGTCCACCAACCTTGGGCTTACAATTAAAAAAAATAGCTTTGAGTGCCAGAACTAAAGATCAACCCTCCCACGCTACTTGTTACCCCATCACTTCTTAATGTCAGATGGTGGTGGGGAATTGCTATCATGGTTAAGATGTTTATTAAAAGTCAGAGATCGTTGCTCACTGCTGTGGTTCTTGTAAGATCCGTAAATTTAATTAGATCCACTTCCTTCCCCACCCTTGCTATAGGTTGGAAATAACTAATCTTTTGCTCATGCTATTACTATCGGGTATTTTTGTTAGATATATTATTTGAAGATTGTATTAAACAGCTGTTTATATGCATCTGAACTAATTGCACAAATTGTGCCTAGAATCACAAACAGAAGGAGAAATGAGATGTGTGACTATGCGGAAAAGTTTGGATAGAGAAACAGAGCAGGGAGCTAAAAGAAATAATTGTTTGCAAAATGAAGATCCAATATTTTATACCTTAGGGCTGTGGACAAGTTTGTTCAAGTTTTAAGTACCCCAATATGTACACTTTGCAGAACATTTCAGACAAGGTGCCTTTAATTTAATAAAACAGACTAGTTCTAAAAGACATTGTTACCAATTATCTGACTATACAGGCAAGAGTACTGCATTAACTTGCAATTGTTTTGCCTTTAGCAAATGTATGTTTAGCCTGTGGCTTTTAATCTCAGTAAACCCTAGTTGCCTATAAAATCCGGGGACAGCTGCTCTGAAACTTATCAATCTTGTTTTCTAAAGGGCTTACCTTAGGTCTACACTAAATCAAAATTTAAACAGAAGACAAAGTCATAGTGGAGACAATACAATTGATTGTCAAAGTGATCTCTCACGGGGATTAGATAGGGATTAGAAAACCTTCCGAGTGACCTTACGGCCAACTGTATATTCCACGAACTTTTCTTACCGCTTAGTCTCCAACAGTTCTCTGTGGAAACTAATTTGAACAGAATCTGTGCTTGGAAATAAAGAAAAAAAAAATCTACCTTTGTCTACTATGGATGAAGTAAAATCATTTCAAAAGGAAACTCGTGCAAAGGCCCATAACAATTATATCACTTGGATGAAAACTATGCTATCTACATGTTTAATGAAACACAACTTTCACTGTTACTAAAATTACTAGCTATTTTAGAGGGGAGAAAAATATGGTTTTCTTTCTATTCCTCCCCAATTTTGCTCCATATAATCTATACACGCACATCTTTTTGAGCAAAATTGGAATACTTACTGCTGCAGGCAAACTGCCTAGCCTCAATACCAGCCAACCACACACACACACACACACACACAATAAAACGAAGTCCTTAGTCTGTAAAAGGGACAGCAGTTCCTGTCATCCCGAAATCTCATTTGCTTCAGCTCAGCCATTCACCACAGGTCAATTCTTGAAAACCTAACTGAAAGTTGGTTGTAGTGAATTTTAATTGTCAAGCAAGCTACAACGATGCTTATTATCCTGAATGGTAGGGAAGGACATATAGCATGTCTCTATTCAGTTATTATATTTTACAAGATTTCTACTTAGGATACTCAAATTGGCATCAGGCATTTTTGTAACCCTGCAGCAAGAAGATTCCACTTTCACCACACAATTTGGGCCCGAGCACAACTGGTACAACCAGAGTCATCTCCATGCTGATTTAAACATATTGATGTCTATATCCTTGAAAGTTTCCAACGCCCACTGGAAGGTTGTACAGAAAACAGAAATCTAAGAGGTATATCCATGAATACACTATTAAGGCTCTAGCCCTGGGATTTGGGAAAGCAGTGGCCCCATAGCTGTTGCTGAACTACAACTTCCAGCAGGCCCAGCCTATAATGTGGAATATTGGGAAATGTGACTCAGCACAATCTGGAAAGCCATAAATTCCCCAACACTCTTTTGGAATGCCAGTTAATTTTATAAACTGCTCAAGCACAGCTTGTACTACTCGCACATAAAGAAGTTTCGGCAGAGATGGTATCAAAAGGGACAATTACATTTCACCCACTAGCGTTTTCTATAGTACCGTGTTTTTCCGAAAATAAGAGCCAACCGGAAAATAAGCCCTAGCATGATTTTTCAGCAAGCTCATAATATAAGCCCCACCTGAAAAATAAGCCCCAGTTAACATCATCAGCCAGACGGACGTGTTTAGTACCGTACTTCCCTGAATATAAGCCCTAGCCAGAAAATAAGCCCTAATGAGTCTTTTGGAGCAAAAATTAATATAAGACCCGGTCTTATTTTCAGGGAAACTCGGGGTAATTTCTTGTTTCTTTTGCATAGATGGGTAAAAAAAAATAGTCTTACATTTAAATGGATCATTTTCAAACTGGCCAAATTTAACTTGTCTAAATCTTAAAAAAAAAAAAAAATAGAGATTCAATTTGATCTCCATTGCAGCAGGGCCCAAGGATGATCATCACTCAGTCAGGAAAATATATATACTTGCAAGGAAGGGGCTTGCAATTATTTAAAGTGCAGATATTACTTTGTAAATGAGTGAATAACAGGTCAGAAGTGTCCCCACTGTCAGGAATATATCTTAGCAAACCAGAGCTGCAGGTTTGCAATATTCAAGTCAGAATATTTAATATGAAAATATTAATGTTAAATATTAATAGTATTTCATTTTAACTGGATCAGGTTATCGAAGTGGGAGCTGGATAAATAGCTCATTTTCCTTACCTTCGTGATGGAAGCTCCTGACCGTATTGGCTCTGCTGCTCGCCTTCTCCAGACTATAGTCCATGGACGTGGGCTTCTGACTCGTGTGCAGATGGTAGAGCTCCAACATATAGGAAGGGATAACAGCATTCTTGGTTGGGGTGGGCCGCCGCTTAAGCCCAAACATACTGAGCAGACGCAGTTCAAATTTACGCAGGATTTCTTCCGAGAGCTGCAGCGGAGCCGGCTGGCCCAAATCAGCACTGAATCTTCGCCGGTCACCCACCTCGGGGATGAGACTGGCAGAGCCCCCTAGCAGCATGTGATAAAGCAGCAGCACTAGTAGAGAGCAGGTCCTGGCCACCATGATCATCAACCTATACATACAAGAAGGCATAAAGTCAAAAGAGGGAGTTAGATTCCAACGGGAGGAGGAGAGGAGGGGGAGGTGATCCATTCCGTATTTGGGAGCATGCAGAAGGACCAAACGGAGGTGACATTCCAGGCGCAGGTCCTCCTAGAAAGATGTTCAACTGCTGAATATGTTCAACTTCTCTTCCTCTTGAAAAGCCACACAAAGGGAAAGCAGTATCAAAGGTCTCCAAAACCTCCTCTCCTCCCACCCCATCAGAGGCTACTGCTTGTCTAAACTGTTATGATGAATTTGGGGTTTAATGGCACAGACTTTCAAGGCTCACTCGACATGCCACTCAACTCTCCGTTGAAAGCTGGATGGGCCCGGGAGAGAAGAACGCCATGGTCACAAGACACAAATTGGGGTCCCATCTGTGTTGGTCACCAGGACCAGAGATTTAGTCTTCCGAGCTTTTGGACTTGTGCTGGAGCCCATCCTCAACATGAATTCCCCTCTCACCAGAATGTTAAGAGAACAGTTCCCCGAGGATGGGCTCCAGCACGAGTCCGGAAGCTCCGGAGATTAAATCTCTTGTCCCTGTGATTGACTCTGATTGGATTCTGCAACATTATCCTGAGACACCTACGTTTGCCTTCATTCATGACCAACTGGGGTGCCTCTCATAGCCTTAGCAGTAAGATTCCATCCTGGTAATCCAGGGCACATTGCCAGATTTGGCAAAAGGAGACTTCTAAAGCCAGACCATAACTCCGAGTTACTCAAGAGCAGATGTTCACTTCTGAGAGTAAAGAGAAATGAAATGATTAGGACATGGGGAAGTCCCCAAATATTTATAACATGATGGGGCTAAGGAAGTAGAACTTCCTGAAACAGGCAACCACTCAAAGGTGCTGGGTTTAGGACTGGGAGTAGGAGGATATATGATGAAATGCTGGCTTTGGGGGATCAACAACATATGACTGCTATCTCTAAAAGCAGTTTGGTAGCTTGTCCCAACAAGGAAAAACTACTTTGCTAATAGACTAGAAGGAAAAACAAGGCTTAGATTTTAAAGAGAAAATCAATAAAAAGAAAAGCTAACTCACTTCATAACTAAAGTAAACTTGAGCGTTATTAATGGAGAAAGGCTTAGTATAAATTTAGCAGGAGGAACTTCCCATCACTTAGGGAATCAGCAAAACTACTTGCTGATTCCATAAGAACTGGATGTAGGCAACTTATGCCCGTGAAAACCATGATTCTACTGATTAAAATACAGATTATAGACTGAAGTGGCAAAGACAGCATAAAATTAGGTATGCATAAACCAGCCTAAAAGTAAGAATGCATAATGCAAACGCTGTACATTAAAATGTGCAACTAACTGTTTGCATAATTAGGATGCTATGTTTTGATAATTAAGGGTGTATATTAATCCTTACTGTGTCTTCTGCTTCTTGGGATAAAGGTAAACCATTATTGAGTGGGATCTTCACGGAAACCTAACTTCAGCTCTTTCCTATGACTCTTTTCACTCTCCACGCCCTCTTCTGGACTCTCATGGCATTTGGTCTACTGTAACATTGTTCAGTGCTTAGATTCATTCAGCAAATGAAAACTGAATGGGTCTGTGTGAGTCATCATTTGTGAATGGGTTACTTACTCTGCTTAAAACAGCAAGGGTTTATACAAGTTATTTTTATGATCTACGATACAGTTTTAAAGACAGATGAATTGTTTCAGCTCCAGCGAAGGGTTTGAACACTTTGTATTTACTCAGGCAAAGTAACTAATCCCAGTGCAACCATTTGCAGCCTAGAGAGAGGGATTAGTTCATTGGGCAGGATTTGCAAAGGGAGGAGGGAAGCACAGGGCAAGACTCAGATGTGTAGAAGAAGGCCTGATGTCAAATGCAGAGGAAACTAAGCACACACATGCACACCCAAATCCACAAATGGAAGCACATTTCAGGGGAAACGGAGGGTTTCAGTTTGCCACTGGTACAGTAGCACTCCTTCTGCATCAGATGAGGAGACTGGGCAGGAGTCAGACAACTTGGTATCACGCAAAGGGTGATACGTATCAAGAAAACAAAGGACCCCCCACCTTGTGTGGGGTCCTCAACTCAGACATTGGCTGGCCAACCCATCTTGGGAAAACACACTGCAGTAACTCATAGTGGCTTTTATCAACCCCTGGTTGCTCTGCAGATGGTTGGCAAAGGATGCAAGTTGTAGACCAACTTCTGGCATGCACTTCTGGGGAAGGTTGTTCAAGAGGATGCCGCTTGGGTAGCACCATGTAGGGTATTGCTCAAATGCATCCTCCACCATGACCACCCCCAAGTCTTGGGGTGCTTCAAGTGGCTGCTTCACACAGAGAGATTACGCAACAAAAGGCCACCCTTGATGCAGCTTATCAAGAACTGGGGAAACAGAGGCATAGACCAAGATAATGGAAGGGGGGGGGGAGGCACCTCTTCGGCCCTACAATCACCTGAAATTCAGGGCAGCTGGCCCTTGTTTCTTTCTTCAGGAAGGGTTTGGGGGAGCGCCTGGAAGGGACAAGGAAGGGCCCCCGACGTCACTGGAAAGGGGGAAGGAGCTGAGGCGGACCGGACCCTCGGAAGATCCTCGGCAGGTGCTGCCTTCAGCCGCGTCCCGTCTCCCGCGATCCTCCCCCCCCCTCCTTCCTCCGAGCTCCGCCATTCCGCCCCCCCCCGCTACCTTTTAGGATGCCACCGATCGCCTAAGCAGCACCGCACTCGGGCACGTCCATCGAGCCAGCCTCCACATCGAAGTCTCCTAGCCGAGCGAGCGGCGTCCCGCGATTCCCTCGGCTCTCCGGCTCCGCCTCCCCCCCGGCCCCGCGCTCTGGTCCTACAGCGGGATAGGATCGGGCGTCCCGGCCGCGGGGCAAAGGAGGCGCAGGACGTAGGGGGAGAAGAGACGGAGGCAGCGCGCGGGGCGGCGAGGAGGAGGAGGAGGACGACGACGACGACTCCACTTCTTCCCCGGGACGCGAGGCTGTCCTGTCCGAGCTACGGGGCTTCGCTTGGCTCTAATGCCTCGTCCGCCACAATCCCAGCTCGCTTTTCGAAGGAGAAAACATCCCGGCGGGGCTCAATCGCTGTAACCCGGGCGCGACCAGGAGGAAGATGAGGAGGAGGAGGAGGAAGAAGAAGAGTGGGGGGCACGCGGCGATCCCGCTTCGCTGCTTTCGCCCGGCGACCTTTTCCGACGTCCGCATCACTCCAGGCTCAAAGGGCGCCGTCTGGATGGAGAGTGAAGGGAAAGTGGACGTGCCGCCGGCGCCCTGCTCCCAGGCCCGGATTGGCTGGAAAACATGTCTGCTCGCGAGTAGGCAGGCGAAGATCTGGAAGACTCGGGGTGGGGGGGGGGAGAGGAAAGCGAGAGTCTCCCGGGGCGAGGGGAGGTCAGGCTGTGCCCCGGATCAAGGCCGATGAAGCCCCAACACCCGCTTTTCTCTCGGATGGGTGGCTGTAAATAGGAGCCCTTCGCCTTCTCCGGGATGGCAGCGGCACGAAACGCTGAATTCCGGGCTACCTCGCAACTTTGCACTTTTTCCTGCACTTTCCTTCCCGGGTGCAAAGAGCAGCCTTCGAGGAAGCCCAGCCTCGGCGGCAGCAGCAGCAGCAGCGACGACTTCCTTCTCTTCCTCCTCGGCTCGTTGGTGCGGCGGCTGCAACTTCACCCCAGCAGCCCGGGCGCAGAGATGCTTCTCTTTCGGCTCCGCGTCCGCCAGCGCTCGGAGCGGGCTTGAGGTGCTGCTGGTGAACTTCCTCCCCCTTCGCTTTTGCTTGCTCCGCTTCTGCTGATGTCACGGCCGCCGGAGCTCGGGAGGCTCTCTCGCCAATCACAGCCGGGAAGCCTGGGTGAGACCGGGAGCCAAGAAGCCAGCCGCCGCGAGTGCTGCGAGGGAGCGCGGCGTGGCGGGCGGCTTTTTAAAGGGAACGCCGCCCCCTTTTAAACTTCCCCTCCTCCTCCGCCCAGCCTTTACTTGTCTTTCCTTCAACTTTCCGGATTAGGACTGGGGAAGGAAGGAAGGAAGGAAGGAAGGAAGGAAGGAAGGAAGGAAGGAAGGAAGGAAGGAAGGAAGGAAGGAAGGAAGGAAGGATTAGAGAGGAGGAAGGGGGAAGGAAGGATTGCTACCGCTTCTGAGGTTAACTTGTGACGCCAAAACTTATTTCTTTTAACATACAGCCCCGCTCTGGGGAAGAACGCGGCGCTATTTCTTTGCAGCGAACAGTCGCAGCGCTCCGGGTCGGCGAATATTTCGTGTGGGGGGGGGGGAGGGAGGCTTATTCAACGCTTGGTTCTAAAACGGAAGGCAGGGTTTGTTTCCCCTCCAGTTTTTCGGCCACAGCTGAGATATGACCAGGACGTCAACCGCAGGCTCCCGGCTCTAGCCGGCGTGGCTGTCCAAGCACCCGCTCAGTTTGGCGGGATTAAATAGAGCTACGATCCGGGACGATCGAGTACCATGCCCGCGTGTAGTTTAGGCACGGGCTAACGTATCGGCGCATATGCCCGAGAAAGGAATTCCGCCGAAGTTTCTCTCGGGAACAAAACACGGTCGTCGGCAGCCAGCTTCTCAAAGAGAGGGTGGCGTTTGCAGGTGCGTTCGGGTTTGAAGGCCGCTTCCGTCTGCGCAGGGAAGTTTGGCTTCGGACGTGCGCGTTTAAAGGCTAGGTCGGGCTGCTTCAAGCCAGAGAAACAGCCAACAAACAAAGATCTATTATTATAATACCGGCGTTTATCTGTGAAGGAAGAAAAAAACAGATTCGCTAGCAGTGCCTCCACAAATAATTTTGGCTCCCAGAGGTGGGATTAAAATGTTTACTCACTTTAAAGGATGTGAAGGGTCAAAGAAGAAAATCCTACCCCCCCCTTTTTTTTTTTTAAAAAAAGAACTTTTTAAAAAGTTATAAAAAGATATTCACCTGAATGCCATTTATTTATTTTTATTTTATTTATTTATTTGGGCTTAAAAAAACATACACCTAATGACTGGTTCTCCCCTTCTCAACAGATCTTCCATTTTGGAATCGTGCCCAGAGTGGCCCTGATGCAGCAGTTTATAAATATTGGACCATTCAAAATAAAAAATGGCTAATTCTACATTGGCAGTGTGGTATCATGATGGTTTTCAGGCTGTTCCTTTTCTCGCAGCTTAGGTTCACCTGACAGTTTTTGACATTTTTTTTCCCGCATCTGGAAGGGGAGATTAATTTATCTTATTTTATCCTCACAATCATTCTGTTAGGAAGAGAAAAGAAAACGGTTTCCCAAAGAATGAACACCAAATGGCAGGGGCTAAGTAGGAAAAGGCTGGAAACAATCCATCTCTGGTCAGAGCTCAGTGTCTTCCCCAACTGAATTAAGAGTGATTTGCAAATACAGTCATTTTCGCAAGCAATAAATTACATTTTCTGCAAACAACATTTATGACTGCAGTTCCAACATTCCAATTTGTCTCATGAGTCATGCAGAGGCATTTTTATCCCCCCTCCCCTCTATTTTGTCCAGTGAGCCCATTGTATTCTACTGTGCCTATTCCCAAGAAAGTGTGCCTACAACTCAGGATTGGTCCATTTAACAGAATACCAGAATTGGAAGGGACCTTGGAGATCTTCTAGTCCAACCCCCTGCTTAGGCAGGAAACCCTATACATCATTTCAGAGAAATGGTTGTCCAATCTCGTCTTTAAAAACCTCCAGTATTGGAGCACCCACAGCTTCTGGAGGGAGGCAAATCGTTTCACTGATTAATTCTTCTCACTGTCAGGAAGTTTCTCCTTTGTTCTAGGTTGGTTCTCCACTGATTAGTTTCCATCCATTGTTTCTTGTTCTTCAGGTGCTGTGGAGAATAGGTTGACACCCTCCCCTCTTCTTTCTGGCTGCCATTTTGCTGCCTGAAACGTGGTGCCTTCCTGCCACTTAAAGGGGTGAACTGGACTGACCCTTAAATGTCATGATCATATTCATGATAGATCTGGGGACTTTCCTGCACCTGAAGGCTACTTAAGCCTAATCAACATAGACTCTGCCATGCAGTCTATCCTCTAGCAATGATGAATGGTTAGGATAGTCAGAATTAATAGTAAGAGCAGTTGCTGCTGACCACTGTTTGTTACCTGACCCCCCTGACCAAACCCTCCCTTGCCCCCTGGCCACGGCCACCCCTAATAGCATTAGTATCTTAGTAGTGACAGCAATTCTGAATTAGGCAATGAAGTTATATTTGTTTTTTAGCCATGTGACACACACACACACACACACACACACACACACACACACAAAATTAGCAATGTGTAGTAGAGGGCATTCTTCCATTGCAGTGCTTTTGAGAAAGGATTTTCTGGCAAGGCCTCAGGAGGTTCCTCAGATCTAAAAGGGCTGGAAATAGCAGAGTTTAAAGGAAGGGAATACCATTTGATTAAAAGAAAAAAGAAAAAGAAGGTGGGGCAGAGTTTAGAAGAGCAGTAAGTCCAAAGTTTAAAAATAACTTAATTGCATCTCAATTCTAAGAATTCCACACCTAGAAATTACAAATCACATAGGTAATATAGGTTTTGTTAGAGAAAACCTGGCCTCTGCAAAAGTGAGTCAGACATTTCAATATAGAAATACAGGACAGATTGGTGCTTACATAGGAAATGCTGAGAAGATAGCAAGGTCCTTTGGACAATCCTGTTGGTTTATAGAATTACTGTAACCCAGCTTCCCAGCTTCACATGACCCCTGCAAAAGTGGAGTGTGAACAATCCATTATACAGGACTAAAATGAAGCTACCTAGCTGTGGCTCAGTATATTAGTGAAAACACAACCATGCACTGTGCTTCGATTCCCATTTAGATCCTTGGTAATTGATCATTATTATTAAAAAGGGTTTATTAGGCCAGGGTCATCCAATGGGTTCCTTTTTAACTGAGTTTTTCCAGGCTGAAGAATATCCTTGAGCTATGCTTTTCCCTCTGGTTTTCTTACCTTTTATCCTTTGCCAGTTGCGTTTTTCAGGATTACAGCCTTATATGCCATTTTGAAAACTGATCTGAACCAACGTGCACTTTTAATACTAACCTCCCATTTACAAATTAAAGTGGAATCATAGGACTATTCTTCTTATAAAATCTACATGGGATCTGCAACGATCCACTTTCCCTAATGTAGGGATGATCAGAGTTTAAATCTGACCTACGGCGGAGGGGGGGGGAGGACCTTCACGAAGTGTAGAAATTTGTCTTAGATTCAACAGTCCATTATTCACTGCACTTCCATGTGAGAGGGGGCAGAATCTTACACGGTGAGGCTTTTATTCTTCCAAACAACAGTCAATGAAATCTGCTTAGATTTTGTTCTGGCTTTTTAGGAATGAAGGCCGTCATCGTTACCACTCCCAATGGTTTACAACAGGATTCTGCAGAGGAGAAGGGGAACCGCAGCTTCATGTTTCTATAAAGGGAAAAGCCTTTCTGTGAGTTACTAAATATGAGCCTCTACTAAATGGCAGAAACCCTAAAAAGATTGTGCCCTTTTGTGAATGATGTCTGCTGCTGTTGTTTGTGTTTTCCTCCCGTGTGTTTGGTTGTTTCACATTTTCCATTCCAGAATGCAAGACGTATAATTTGATCGTGTTTTCTTTAAATTTAGAAATGGCTGCCCTCCTGTGGTAGAAAGATATTAGAACAACTCTGTGGAAAGGAAAGTCCCAGTTAGAAACATTTAAGACCAGTTTACTGGGGGATGGCAATGGATCCCTATCTTCCCTAAGAGTAATGACATTGTGTTAAAATAGATGGGGGCGTGTTTCTTAATAATGAAAGTATGACATATTGTGCTTAATATGACTATAACTCACAGTGAAATCAAATGCCTCCTCTTTTTTCTAAAATAAAAAATTACAATCGTTTGGTAGTAAATAGAGGGAAACAGGCTTGACGTTAACATTCCAAGTTTATATTTCTCTAAAAGGAGACCAGTTGCTTGCTTGTTTCTTCCAAGGAAAATTTGAGAAAGTCTTCAGGGCAATCAAATGCTTTTTCTGCATCTCCTAAGACAGTTTGCACATCTGCAGACTACTCCCTCGAACCAACCAAGACTGTAATTTGGTGCAGCCATAGTTTGGAACACTCAGCACATTTTTGTCTTTCCTTACTGCTAATTTTGTTCAGGCTTTCTAACTCTCTTGCCTGATAAACTGTTCTTGAGATAGGAAACCTGGGATACAAAGCGGCAAAACGTGCTTTTTGCCTCATAAAACAATTGTCTTGCACTGTGGATTTCGAAAAACCCCAACCCACCTTTTTCTGAGACTGGGAAGTTCAAACACTTGGATCAGCAAGAGTTTATTTGGCTAAAGAAGTTGAACTTCAAGCCTGCGGCCTTCTCTGTGTTCCTGAGCTACTGTATGTCCAATCTCAAGACTAAAACAGAGGCCTTCTAAAAAAAATACTAATGGAATGACTGCTTGCCAAACTTATAGCATACACTTAGAATCCATCTATCCATCCATCTATACAGTTAGCTATCTAGCTATTCATCCTTCCATCCATCCATGCATCCTTTGTTTCTCCAGAATTGAAACAGTTTTCATATAGCTCTGCTTTCATTTTATCCCCACATGATATTTTAAGTTGAATGCCCATCAATGGCTGAAGGTGGACTTGAATCCTACTTCTTCTGGTTCTAGTTCAGCATCTTCCCCACCACAAACTTCTGGACACCCCACCACCACCACCTCGAGAATTATGTTTCAGCTTCATGGGAAAGTGACTTTCAGCAATCTTAGGAGTTTAGACCACTTCTGCCTCAACCTCTCTTCTGACTCATCGCTAGAGCAACACAAGATATTCTAAACCAGGGCTCTTCAAACTTGGCCCTTTTATGACTTGTGGACTTCAACTCCCAGAATTCCTCAGCCAGCCACACTAAGGGGAAAGGGAGAGGTTTCCAAGCTGAGCCATGCTGGCTTAGGAATTCTGGGAGTTGAAGTCCACGAGTCATAAAGTGGCCTAGGTCTAGGCCAGAGGTAGGCAACCTTGGCTCTTTTATGACTTGTGGACTTCAACTCCCAGAATTCCTCAGCCAGCATGTCTGGCTGAGGAATTCTGGCAGTTGAAGTCCACAAGTCATAAAAGGGCCAAGTTTTAAGACCTCTGCTCTAAACTCTTGGTTGCTTATCAATATAATTGCTCTGGCCCAAGTTCATTTCTACCAGACAAGTGCCCCTTGCCTGAATATTCCAAGTGGCACCTTTGGCCTTCAATCCTCCCTGAGTAAAAAAAAAACAAAAAAAACAAAACCTGAGCAAAAAAGCAAAGAACATGCTACTTAAAGCAGCAGCCTGCTCAGAAAATTTGAAGAAAGTCATTTTGTGCTTAGCTGTAAGGCAGGGATGGGTAACCTGGTGCCCCCTAGGAATTTTGGCTTTGATAGTGGCTGACTACCAGTAAAAGGTGAAGATTCATTCTCACCAGGAAGGGAGAGGAGAGGTTCTCAGAAAAAAAGGGGGGCCTGAGAGTTGGCAGCTAAGGCAGCTGGTTGCAGGGAAAAAGCTTGGCGAGGTTGTTCAAGAAAAGAAGGAACACGTTTATCTCTAATGAGAAAAACACATCTTCGCCAAGGGTTCCAGTTAGAGCAATCATTAGGTAACTGTATTATGTTATCTTTAGCTTTGATCATCCAGCACAAGGTTTTTCTTTAAATGTCATATTTACATCCCATTAAAATCTTTATAAATATTATTGTTCATTGAGGCCTTCTCCCTCAAGGACTTTGCTTCCTACGAGAAATCAAGCCTGACAGTAAACCAAAGAAGGAAGAAGAAAGGAATCTCTTGTCATTCCAAAAGAGATTGTTGCAACTTGCTAAAGAGAATATTATCCCTATCCTGTGGACTATTTTAGATGGGAGATAGGAGCAGGAGTCCGAAAGGTTTCACATCCTACTCAGCTTCCAACTTCCATGAGCCTCAGCCCTTCTAACTGTGTTCTGTCTCTGCAGTTGATAACTAAAAGGTTTTGATGTCTACATGTGGGTAGCCCAGATGTACATACATCGCTCACGTTAAATGGGAATCTATTTATTTTGCCACCTGACTCCCATTAGGATTTGGGGATATTTCTGGATTTAACTTCCTTCGCATAGTTTATTGAGCTGTGTATTTTCCCAGGAGGTGAGAGAACTGTTTTTAATATCTGATCTGCTGATTTGGTACTTTATCATTAACTCTGCTTCTTTTTCCCTGCATCAAGGCTGGGTTGCCATACCTGGATGATAAATCCAATGAACTGCAGCTAATATTCTACAGGGGAAACCTGGAAAAAAATGTTAATTATTATGTCAGAAGGTTGCTATATTTTTTTTTTCCTGCTTCCTGATTAACTTTCAAAAATAGTACGTTTGCAGCATTCTGCTGAGTGGACCTGGATAAGTTTCTAGCATAATTTTAGCTTATGAAAAGATGTGTATGTTCCAAGGTTGGCCCTCCTGTTTTATTTCCCCCTAAGAAGACGTGCTGATAAAAAATGAGCCAACAAAAAATCATTTATAAAGATCAAACCTGAGTGCAGCATCCAATATTTATATATTTACAGTATATCTTGTTCCATTCATAGTTGTCTGGATTTATAAGATACATGTTCCCTCTTTTAGGAAACCCTATATATATATATAATTAGATTATAATCCATAATCTAATTTTAATGTGATATAGACGTGTGCGTGTGTGTATGTGTGTGTATATGTATATATGTGTGTATCATATACAGTATATATATGATTAAAAGTAAAATTGCTGCGTAATTTTGGAATCCAGATTTCTGGACTTACTAGTCTTTGACTGCCCACCCACCTTACTCCAGAAGTAGTAAGAATCCCTTTCCTTATGTCGAGATGTACAGTATAGGCCAGTTCTACTGCCTTTGGGGATCTTCCCAGTCTATTTAATGAAATCCTAAAGTTTTGTCCTGAAGTTAATACCATTAATTAAAAGGTATCCATTATTCATAAAATTATACATGGAACAGAAATAAAATTAATTAGCAATTTATACAAATACCTATTGAGATATAAAATGGAAGACGAGGTTGTCAAAGACACAATGATTAGATGGGCAAAAAATTTTGGATATAATATAGAATTGGAGAAATGGGAAAAAATATGGGAAATAAATATAAAATTGACTATGTCGGCGGCATTCAAGGAAAACCAGTTGAAGATGTTTTACAGATGGCATCTTCCACCAGCAAAGCTTGCCAAGATGTTCCAGAACAATTCGCCAACATGCTGGAAATGTTAAAAAGTACATGGAACATATTATCATTTATGGTGGACATGCCCAGTTGCAAAAAAATATTGGACTACAATAAGAAAATGGATCGAAGAAATAATAGACCAACCCGTAGACTGGAAACCAGAGATCTTTTTGTTGGGTATTTTAAACAGAAAATATAGTAAAGAAATATGGTACTTAATTTTACATATAATAACGGTGGCAAGAATAGCATATGCACAGTGCTGGAAAAATGAGAATATACCATCAAAGGAAGAAGTGATAAGAAAAATCCTGGACTGTGCTGAGATGGACAAATTAACAAAAGAGATAAAAGAAAAGGAAGACACAGAGTACTATATAACATGGAACAAGTGGTATGACTGGTTGGAGACAAGAAATAATAGAAGAGAATAAATATGGAAAGGTCAGAAGTGAAAATATGTGTATAATAATGTATAATAATAATAATATGAATTATTCTTAGTAAGAAGTAGAATATGAAGGAAGAAAAATGTAAATAAGAAACAACGGGGCAATAAGGACAAATATTCTAAAGAAGAATAAGGGGGGAAATGTAAATAATAGAAGATTACCGTTACGTAATCGCTGTTAAAAAAAAGGGAGAGGAGTATATACTGTGTGTGTTTGTGTGTTATGTTTCGCTTTGTTTTGTTTTGTTGGTTAAAAATAAAAATAAAAAATAAATAAAAGGTATCCATTATTCTTTTGGTTTCCTGTCATCTTAATTTTTCCAAGATAAAAACTTGGCATCTGAACCAACCAATCTTATTTTAGTCACGTTTCTGGTGAGACCTGTCTGGACTTGGGAGCTAAATAAGGTCTGGCCTGCCTAGTACTTTGATGAGAGACCACCATGGATCCTCCAGGATTTTGGTTAAATTGAAAAGTATCCTAGAAGGAGGCAATGAAAAGTCACTTCCTTATTCAGTGTTCAGTGTTGCTGCCAAGAAAACTCCATGTAGTCAACAGGAGCTAAAGTTGACTCAAGATCTTTATATTGCTGTACAGACCCAGCTCACAGCAGGTTCAATCTATTCTATTGTATGAAGGCAATTTGGAAATAAACCTCTGGTTATCAATGACAGACGCTCGCAGATACAGAACTTTTATTATACACATTAGAAAACTACAAAATTACATTACTTTTTGACATAATCACCATTCAGCTTGAGGCACTTGTCATAACATCTTACAAGGTTTGAAATTCCTTAGTAGTCGCTTGGCGCCAAATCTGGGTTATGGGAGGTGTGATCAAAAACATCAGAACTGCTTCAAAAGTTCTTGGGTGCATCTAATGGTGTGCAGGAGAGCATTATCGTGAACCAACACCACACCGGAAGTGGTGCCATCGAAAATCCTGCCAAATGTGAAGATGCCAAAGGAGTACTGCTAGTGAAGTTCATGGAGCGTGGTTCAACCATCAATTCAGAAGTCTACTGTGAAACAGTATGAAAACTCAGATGAACCATCCATAACAAGCGCCAGGGCAAGCTGACTTCCAGTGTGGTGTTAGTTCACGATAATGCTCTCCCGCACACCTCTAGACGTAACTCTAGACAAACTTTTGAAGCAGTTCTGTTGGGATGTTTTTGATCATGCCTCTATAGCCCAGATTTGGCACCAAGCAACTACTACTAAGGAATTTCAAACCTTGAAAGACGTTATGACAAGTGCCTCAATTTGAATGGCGATTATGTCAAAAAGTAATGTAATGTTGTAGCTTTTTAATGTGTATAATAAAAGTTCTGTATCTGCAAGTGTCTGTCATTGATAACCAAAGGGAGGTTTATTTCCAAATTGCCCCCATGTTAAAACAGGCAATTAGATTAACTCAGTCAGCCCTTTTGAGTTAATAGTGGGCAAGCTTACTGCAGTTATCATAAGCTGGAGAAAGTGCCAAAAAAATGCATATAAACCAACCTAGTTATGGTCTACAATCTACAAAATAAGGTTCTAGTTCAATATGATATATAGCTAGTCCTCGACTTACAACTAAGCCCAAAGTTTCAGTGGCTAATTGAGCTTTGTTAAGTTGTTAAGTGAGTTTTGCCCCATTTAATGACCTTTCTTTCCACAGTTGTTAAGTGAATCACTGCAATTGTTAAGTTAGTAACACAGTTGTTAAGTGAATTTGAATTCCCCATTGACTTTGCTGGTCAGAAGGACGCAAAGGGGTGATCCCATGACCCCGGGACACTGCAACCATCATAAATATGAGTCACTTGCCAAGTGTCCGAATGTAGATCACATGACCTTGGGGATGCTGCAATGGTCCTAAGTGTGAAAAATGTTCATAAGTCACTTTTTTCAGTGCTGTTGTAACCTCGAACTGTTGTAAGTCATGAACTACTTGTTTATCACTGAATTTGTAAAAATCTCTGAAGACTAGAGGCTCAGTAGCAGGCTGAGTACATTGATGATTTTGCCTGGGGCTCTAAAGCTAAGTGGAATCAGGCTTGATTAGTTCTTCAGTGAGATTTTATCAAAAAAAAAAAATATATCAGATTGGAAAATTGAAAAGCACCTTAGAAGAAAACATTAGAAATTAGTCTTGTCACTTGGCTTTTACCTTCTTGTACAAATGCAGTTTATATGGTTAGTTTGTGATTCAGCCAGTTCTCTAATCTGGCTAATTGGATTAATTGAGTTAAGGAATACTGGCATTGTCTGGTGGGAAGAAGCAGCCAACAGACTGACCCTAGAGCAGCCTAGTAATAGTATAAAGCTTGGAGGGGGGGGGAAGCAAGCCCTAAATCAATATAGTAACAATGGCCAAAATAATATCATGATGAGCTAAAGATTGTGCTCTTTATATTATTGTTTTGTCATTAGGACCTCACATTCTGTTCCTGAGAAGACTACAAGGACACCTCCAGGAAATCACTAAATTCAGCTTAAGGGCATATATAATGGATAAATTTAGCCAGTGTGGTTTTATGGTTCGGTATAATATATAGATCTTTGATTCATTCAGAAAATCGAGTTTTATTATAAGGCAGTATCACAAGCGGCTATAATTGGTTTGCTTTGATTGTCTGTTTTACTAGAACGACTGGTTCACACTTGGACAGGTGCAAGGATATGAAACTGTAATATTGCATTTTAACTTATGATGAGCAATAGCGGAAAGAGAATTGAATAAGGAAACCTTCTGCTGGTACCCCCAGCAGATTCCCAAAACAATAAGTAGAGTGGATGTAGAAGAACCACAAATGATAGACTGCGGTGGCATATTACAAGAAGGGAATAGAATAGAACAGAACAGAATAGAATAATAACTTTATTGTCACTTTGAATGTACACTAATCATTATACATTAAAATGAAATTTCATTGCATACAGCTCTCAAAGGGTCACCACCTCCAATATACACTACTTAAATATGACAAAAATAAATACAGTAAATAAAAGAATTATGCCTATACCCACATATATTATATGACACAGAGAAACAATACAGAAGAAGCACCCATCTTCATGGGAGAGGTGTTAGCTCTTTATCATAAATCATATATGTTTTATTTCGGTGGAAAGAAGAAATATGAACCTATCCATGTTGTCTTAAGACCACTCAAGGGCAGAAGCTGGGGGGAGGGGTGTCCTTGCATGTCAAACAAAAGAAAGGCAACATTCTACTTCAAGAGATTGTCTTTGGAAACAATTTACTGTTGACACTCGAGAGCCCATGAAAAGGCTTCTTGGACTCAGTTTTGGGATGAAGGACATTGCAACTTCAGGGAGTCTTGTTTCTGAATGCCACTTTGAGTTGCCAATTCTTAAAATCTATAGGTCTATTGTGCATCCTTCTTGTTGCCTAGAATTTGAAGGGGTATCTGGGAAGCAGCTATGTCTATAGCCAAATTCCTACAGCAAGCTAAGCTGTGTTTGGGTCATTTGCAGTCCAAGTATATTATTGTGAACCCAAACAATTGTGGACCCAAATACATTCCGTGTCTTCTGTACATCGTATATGTAATTATTATATACAGATAATCTTCGACTTTATGACCATCTGTTTAATGATTGTTCTAAGTCACGATGGCCTCAGAAAAAGTACTTACGATCTATCCTCAAAGTTACCACTGTCATATGACATGCATGGTCACATGATCCCAATTCGAGTGCTTGCAACCAGTTTGCATTTGCAACAACGATTACAATCTGCAACCTTCTCAGCCAGCTTTTGACAAGCACAGTCAATTGGGAAAGCCTGGTTCACTTAATAACCATGTGATTTGTTTAATGACTGTGATAAAAATGGTTGTAAGATTGGGACTGGTCACATGATGAGTCATTTAACAATTGCATTGCTTAGCAACCAAAAGTCCAGTCCTAACTGAGGTCGTAAGTTGAGGACTACATGTACCTACATTATAACCTTTAAGGCAGGGGTCCCCAACCCTGGACTGTGGACCAGTATTGAGCCGCGGCATGCCAGCAACCGGTCCACACAAACAAGCAAAAGCCCATCCATGGGATGCAGGCAACACACAAAACCACTCTCCGGTCCGTGGAAAAATCTTTCTCCATGGAACCAGTCCCTGGTGCGCAAAAGGTTGGGGACCTCTGCTTTAAGGCATAGATGTGTGTTAACTGACATCTCCTAATATCTACAGTCCAGAGGATTAATGTTTCAGATGGTCACTCATGCTCAAATCACCTCATAAATTGACTGTTGCAATGTGCTTTACATTGGTTTGCCATATCTGGTCCAGAATGCATCAGCATTGGCAATAATGGGCATGCTGCAGTTCGGCCCATGACACCACTCCTCCCCAAGCTGCATTGGTTGCCTATAAACTTCCAGGT